ACAGTAATTAGTTCAAGGTACTTTGAGAGTAAAGATGCAATGGTACCTTTCAAATGGACCTTTGCCTGATAATCGAGGCCAGCTTACTCTGTGTGTTTTCTCTCAAAAAGTGTTCGAATTGCCATAAAACGGGAGTGTACGCAAGTGGGAACTCAAATCATGTTTATTTTCGAGCATATACATATAACTGAAAATACATGTTTGCTCGAAAATACATGTAACTGAAAATACATGTCGAGCATATAAATGTAACTGAAAATACATGTAACTGAAAATACATGTCGAGCATATACATATAACTGAAAATACACGTTTGCTCGAAAATATCGAATAATGATGTCCACTATACTTTCAGTAGAAGTAAATATTTCCATTTACTGATAGCGCCGATTAAAGGATTCATAACTCTAATTGGATAATGAGATAGACAGAAAGAAAGATGTTACCGTCATACTATTTCTATTGGTCAGAATAGACAACAAACACATGACTGAACCCTGATTGGATCAGGCGCTTATGGACTCGGCATACAGGAGTGTGTCGAAAGCTCGAAGGAAATATAAATATTTTTAAATATAAACCAGATAAAATAAGGTGTTCAACGATTACACGTGTTTCTCTTGAATAATAAGTCAAATGTTTAAAAGGAACTGTTGTGATTCAAACATGCTTTAATAGAGGTTCAATTGAAATAAAGACAACAGTCCCTTTCAGTAAGTTTAAATATTGTATGATGAAACCTTCCTAGTTTGAAATATTAGAATGAAATCCTAGAAATTTTACCAAAATATTTCTAGAACCAGGGAAACCATTTATCTTTGTATTCCTGAAAATTTTTTCAGAAAACCTCTAAATATCTATATATACTTTGCTTTTCNCATCACGTGATCTCAGGGAAGGTTTCTGAATGATTAAAATTTCAAAAATTATTTAAATTTTGAAAATCCACGACATTTTTTTATGAAGTCCGCGAACTTTTTGTTGTTATTTTACTAAAATGTTTACAAAAAGAAAATGTTCACAGTTGAAATAGAAGATGGGCGCACGCAGAAAGTCTAGTTTAATAAATTTAACTTAAGAAAAAAGATACATTAATGCGAAATTTTAAACTATGAAAAGCTTTTTCAATGAATTTTCAATAGGACAGAAAATGTGGGAAAAATAACGCGTGAAACACCTAAAGTTACCAAAAAAAAAATAGTAAGCAGAGTTTTGCCTTGCTGAAACATTTTTAAATGTGTAAGGTCTTTGATTTCAAATTCAAGTTGTACAGGGTTACCATGGACCGTCACTTGACATGCCATTGTCAAACCCTTGACCGGCCATAGACCGATCCTTGACAGGCCATAGACCGACCTTAGACCGGCCATAGACCGACCAGACCGGCTATAGACCGACCGAAAGACGGCCCCTTGTAACTGTGTGAGGTCACGCGTACACTTACATAAATTGTACTTAAAAGGTAATCGACTCAAATAAACCGAAAGACAACGGTTTATTCAAATACGGTCTTTGATTTTAAATTCAAGTTGGCCAGGGTTACAATGGACCGACACTTGACCGGCCATAGACCGATCCGTGACAGGCCATAGACTGACCTTAGACCGGCCATAGACCGACCATAGACCGAAGGACGGCCCCTTGAAACTGTGCGACGTCAAACGTACACTGACATAAATTGTACTTTAAATGTAATTGACTGAAATAAACCGAAAAACAACGGTTTATTCCAGAATGTTTAGTAATTAACAAATATCTAAATATAAACTAAACGAAAATACAATTTCGATTTAAATAACTAAATTCACATATTTTATAACATTTGCTTTGTTTAGCTTTGTAAACTAACTGGTTCATTATATCGAATAAGCTGTTAAATAATCCGACACTACAAAGCAAGCAAAGTATTTTTTTACTTTATTGACACCCCTCAACCAACCCCCCCCACTTTCCTTTGGAAATAAATTACTTAATGGCATTTTTCGTAAAGATTTATTTAAAGAGAAAATACAAGCAAGATTACTGAGTGTGCAGAATGAATGGTTTTTAATCCTAAAAAAGTTGGCAATACAATGTTTGATGTAAATATGTATAATGTTGTTTTTCATGTATTATATGCATATATAAATATATACATATACGGTGGTAGGCGATTATATCAACATAATAAAGACGACTTTTAAAATTTTTTTAATTGTTTAACAGTTTTTTTTTAATTTCAAGTTTACAATTAATCAAAGAGAAGCTTTTTTGATTGACAGCTTCTCTTTGTTTCTATGTTTATGTGTATCCATGCTGCTTAAAAGCTTGATTTATATTAAAATGGATATCGAAAGTAGTCTTCATTATATTGATATAATCGCCTACCATGATATATGTATATATGTGTGTGTTTATACTACACATTGTATCCATGATATATATAATATATATGTGACTGTAGAGCTATCCGAGACCACCGCACAACTGATATATTTTCCATTACATATCAGTGCTAATGCCCCGTATCCGTTCTATCTCATTCTGTTGAATCTTGTGGAACTAGTTTAACGCGGCCAGGCATCGTCTTCCACAGTATTTCATTTTTAACATTTAGAGCAAATTTTGATAAAATTTAAAATAGCGTCGCAGCCATTTGCGTATTTTATATTCAAACATTTTTTCTTCAAAAATATAAAAGAAAGACAAAAAATAATTTTCGCAAATTTTCAAATTTTTTGTAGTTTTCAAAAATCAAAATTTATTCCTGTAGTATCCGTGTAGACCAAATTAAAATCTAACTAAAACTGGCAAAAAAAGTTATACCAGAATGTTATTTTTTATTTTGATGTTTATTTAGGACAACAATGTGAAAAATAGTAATGCATGTTTTCTCTTTGTTTGTTTGTTTGCATGTCCATTCATAATAATAACCAATATGAACCCCACCACCAGTTTACCTAAATTATATTTGAACAAAGGAAGTTCTTTATCTTATTTTAAGGTTTCTACGGAAAGTAAATTGGCTTTTATTGAAAAGTTAAGTTTCAATCATGAAATTATAAAAATTTAATTATTAAAACCCTTTTTTCATCAATCAACTGTATTTGATTCTTAATTAATTATGGACTCTGAAATAACGTTAAAATATAATACAGTGTAACCCTTCATAACGAATACATCGAAAGAATTCATCAAATGTCGTATTCTTCATTTTCTGATAATGGAATGTTGCAGATATTTAGTTTTTTAATTAAATGATTATATGGAACTCTTTAAAACTGTTCGTGTATATTCATGGCTTTTTATTTATTTTCGCAAATACTGAAATTTACGTAATATAGTATAAAACTCACTGAAAAATTGTCAAGACGACATTTGATTAATTCTTCCGATGTATTCGTTATTCAGGGTTTCGATGTATTAAATTAGTTAAAATGTAATATTAAAATTTCTTAAATATCTTTCTTTTGATGGGGTAAAAAACTGTGAAATTTGAAAACTACTAAAAGTTTCAAGGAAAATTCGTTTTTTATTCTTTTCCTTTGTTCATTCTCTTCTACAAAAACTAATTTTAAATTCTTGCTATAAATCTATTTATAATATAAAATCCTAAGTGTTTGAAATGGCGGGCCACTTGAGATTATGCTTCCAAAACCTTTCAGAAAATCAAAATTGTCTGAATATTTAAAATCAGAATCAACTTTATTATTAAAATACATATACACCCCAGACCATTTCTTGGATATCTGGAATAAATGACGAATTTTCTGTCGTCTATTAGATTCCATGTTTATTGGGACACCCAGTAATTTATCCTAACAAAAGCGACCCATTTGGCAATGTTTGTATAGAACTATTATTTCGTAAATATTGTGAGAGAAAAATTTCTATAATATTGTTGTTAGGTGAATATGGTTTATTATTTAGTCTGGCCAATTCTACCAGGGGAATTCATCCAAATCCCAATATAGTTCAGGAGAAACAACATTAAATAAATTACTTATAATATATTTAGTATAAATATATGGTTTATTCTCTTTATATAAACATAAATTAATATCCAGGAGTACATGTTCTCGTGCTTGAGGAAGGAGACTGCAACGCCTGGATTCCGGTTTACCTGTTCTCGAATTTTCCTCATAATTCTCTAGCATTCTTTACTTTTATATAGACTCAAATTGTTGCTGCTGCTACAATATCTTGTTAAAGATTATGTTGTTGTCATTATAGACTTCTGAATACCGAGCCTTAAAGGGACTGTAAGCGTAATTTCAAGTGACCCTCCATTCAAAGATGTCAATGACTGATTCACAACGGTATCCTTAAAATCTTTGTTTGATTAAAAATGACTAAGATATCAATGTTTATAATTTTGAAAACTGATTTATTTGAAGTGCAGTTTTCCACATAGTGAATTTTACATTTCAAACACAGGAAAACATAAAAGTAAAACTAAAATATCTTCCACATTGACCAGAAAAGGGTTTTAAAGGGACTGTAAAGGAAAAATGAAAGGGGGTATAGGATGAAACCCGAGAATCTCAGGCGTTAGACGATAACGATTAAACAGGTCATATTTAACAAATACGCAACCAATATGAAAACAACGATATCACAGAGTAGCCTAAGAATCTCTAGTTTGCTCCTATTATTATTTGAATTTAATAATTTTTGCTTTTTAATAGACCTATGTCTAGCCGGTCACTCCCTTTAACATGAAAAATTAGACCACAAATTTTTAAATGTCAGAACTACTTCATTTATTGCTGTTTCTTTACGAATAGATATTTAGTATTTTCGATTAGAACAACAATCATAAAGGAACTGCTGTAGAATGAAGACCTTTGATATTTCAAACTAAGAATTCAACATGCAAAACCTTGAAAGATTACTTCACTTTACACTTTCAGGTCTGAAAGATGTAGTGATTAGAAAATAGAGTTAATGGTGAATATTCAGTTTGATTTTGCGTAGTCTAATTCACATTCAAAATAATCTTAGTATTGAAAAAACAATTATTTTAGTCCAAAAAAAAGTATATTTTTTTTACAGTTTTCACAAAAATGGTTCCCCTGTTTCAAGCTGATCATCTTTTTCTGCAGAACTTGTATTAAACATCTGCCTGTAAAAGGCTCTGCAAGAAATCCAGATGGTCTGAAAAAAGTATTTGTATTCAAATTATTCAAAGATTTGTCATCGAAATTCTCTTAAAACGTTGTTGTAATTTCTAGCTTGTTTAATGTTTAATTGACAATTTCACTAAATATTTCAAGATTGTCAAATATTTGATCTGCTTCTCTAGATACTTCAAAGATAAAATTGACATTCCCCGTTTTTTATTAAATTGTTTGAACCTTTGAAGTTGCCATGTNTAAGACATCTATCTGATGTTCCTGTCTCGAGAAATTGATATAAAACTGTGTCAAATTAATACGAATATTCAAATATATATGCAATTTTGTATAAAAGTTGTAGTATTAAACAGATCATATTCAACAAATACGCAACCAATCTGAAAACTATTATGATCCCACAGGAGTCTGAGAATCTCAGGTTTGCTCTTATTATAATTTCTTAATTTTTATCCGGCATTTTTAATAGATATAATTGATAATATAATTACATATAGTCTGTATAGTCCATATTACGTCACCAGAACTTCACCAATCGCAGTGCAATGTACTGATCACGTGATTTCCGTCTGTATCAAGTGACAACGATACTGCACTGCCATTGGCTGAAGTTTATTTAATGTATAATTAATTAATTGACAATTTCATCAATTAAGTTTCTGAAGCAGAAATGCGCAAGTTATTTTAAAAATAACCCGCACTTGAATATGATCAATTTTCTAAAAATGCATGATGAGTGTCTCATCATTTCTTGATCAGACAGACACTTCCAGTTACATCTATTGCCCCTTTAATAACTTAAATCAGTTTATTTTATCATTTATAAATTTGTATTTATTATATTTGAACAAATGATGATTATTTGACGATAACTGCTAAATTTTAAATGTTTTTAAAAGCCAATGCCTAAATTAAAAAAGCAATGTAACATGAAAGTGTCAATAAAATAGGTTTCAACACTAGTTTCTGCTGTAATGTGAGTCATTCAAAAAGCAAAAGATCGATTTTATAAAACACAATAAATCTCGTAATCCTTATTTTTTCCGAAAATAATATTCTGAAGGGCGCAACTGCTCCTCGTTAATAAGTAGAGGATCCCTTTAATTGGAAATCCCTTTTATTTAATAAGAAAAAATAGATTTTGTAAAACCTTATAATTTTGATAATAGTCTCTTAAAAATGAATTTTTACAGTCGCAAGATGCTCGGATCCAATACTATGCATATCTCACTAAATTTTTCAAGATTGTCAAATATTTGATCTGCTTCTTTAGATACTTCAAAGATAAAATTGACATTCCCCGTTTTTATTAAATTGTTTGAACCTTTGAAGTTGCCATGTCTTTGTTTAAAAAAACACATAAAGGGACTGCAAAGGAAAAATGAAAGACTGAAACCTGAGAATATATGTAAAATATACGGTCGTATCACGTGACCAGAACTCTCTCCAATGGCAGTTCAGTATATTGGTCATATGATACAGAAGGGACACGTGACAATAATACTGCACTGCCATTGGTCTATAGATGTAAATAGCCCCAAAATCAAAATTTGGGTTATATGTCATTTTTTCCGTGCGTCTGTGCGCCTTCCAAAATTAAATAAAACAAGTTCAATTTCAGTCACATCTTTCAAAAGAAAGGTTGGGAGGAAAACTGAACATAGTGCGAAGCTCAAGAAGAAAGAACTGGACCCAGGTCAAAGGAAGATCACAGAGTTCGGAAGAACAGACAGAATTCCATCAGAATCTTCTTCTTCATACTCAGAACGGAACACTACAGAGATAGAAGAAGATGCCAGAGATAGCAGAACAGAGGAATCAGCGTACAACAGTGATTAAGCTCAGTTTTGAGATTTTAGTGATTTTTTAGAAAAATAAACAAGAAACAACAAAAAAAACGTAAAAAGAAAAACCAAAGTGAGATAACAGTGACCGATATTCTCACTTTAAACCAAAAAAATAAAAAGGTGACGGGTGTCATAGTAAATGGTTTTTAAAACCAATAATTATGTTAATTTTAAAATTAACAGATATAATCGGATTACACTGAATTCGTGGTGAAATCATAAAAACAGATTAATAAATATAGATAATGTTTTTAAGATCAATATATATTTGTTAATTAAATACTTCATAATGCAAAATCAAAAAGAAAATGTAAACAGAATCATTTAAAACCAATATAGAATATATTTTGTTAAAACTTTTTGTTAAATTGCTTGTTAAAAATAAAATTTCTTTTTCATACCTTTATTAAATGTAATTTAAGAAATGTCTTTAATAAATATGTTTGTTTAAAATAAACTTTCTTTTTCAAACCATTATTTAATCTTTCAGAATTATGGGTAATATAATGATGATGTTATGGCTGATGATTGGAGCACTCCAAACTATGGGAAATGATATTTCTAACACGGTAAAAAATATAACCAAAAAGTTAAGTGAACTGGTATATAATCAAGGCAAATTAGCTAAGGATCTAATATTGGGAAAAACCATTTTTACGTTATCTGCAGGAAAAACTTCAACAAAGAATGGAAAACTTTTAAGAAAGAAATTAAGAAAGGACTAGACGACTTAAACATATTAGAAAGGGTGAAAAAGATTATTGCTGAAATCAACTCTGAAGAGATAAAAAACAAGTTAATATTGAACACTGAGAATGTAAATGGTAATTTAGAAAAACAGATAGTGAAAACGTTAAAAAAATTAATGTCTCAAATAAATACTGAAGAATGTGAAAAGATACTAGAAAATTTAAAAGGAGATAGTTTTTTTAACATATCCGGAACACTAGTAACTAAAGAACTAAAAGAAAGCCTGAAATTTGGAAAAAAGTATAACCCGTTTTTTAAGATTGACATTAAAAAAGAAATAACGAAATTTGATGAACAAGTGAAACAAATCCTAGTGAATATTACAAAACCAGGAATATCATATATTAAGACAAAAAACGTTTTTGTAATCATAAAACTTTTGTTAAAATCTAAAAATGTGATAAAAAACGTAACACTTAGAGAAACTCTTTTGTCAATTAAAAAATCATATAGCTCAGAGAAACGAAAGTTTTTAAATTTCTTGAAAAAAAGATCTAAAACATCTGAACAACTACGGTCAGAAATAGAATGGGAAAACAGTTTTAAAACAGATGCAAGCAATATCATAGTAGCAGCAGACAAAGGAGTAGGATATGTGTGTATAGACAGGGTCGACTTATTAGAGCAATATAACAAAATTAATACAAAACAGCACTTTGGTAAAGCTAACATAACTGAAGAATGGTATATAAGAAACATCAAAACTTTTATTAAAATGCAAGAGACAATATACCGTTTGAACTAAGTAACATCATTAAATATGCAGATTTTATATGGAAAGAAAACAAAGCTGAAATTGGGACATTAAGACTCATGCCAAAAGTTTTAAAACTTAAAACCATCAACAAAGATAACGTGGAAAATTTGAATAGTAGGGGAATCAAGAGCTCAATGAATGATCCGATAAAACTTGTTCAAAAAACTTTGGACAAACTATATAACCACATGCTATTTTTTATAGAGCGAGAATTCTTGAGAATTTTTGGAGCATTATCTCCATCAGTAACTGGAGTATCAGAAGCAATCGAGAGGATAAAAAATTCAAAAACAGGAAACTGTGGAACATCAATAGAAATGGAAGGTGATTTTGGTGACTTATACTCCAATTGTAATAAAAAACTTTTAAAAAGTTGTATTATAAAAGCAGGAAAAATTGCAAAATTAGAAAGAGACTCGCTAGATTATATAATCAAACTCATGGAATGCTCAATGAGTCATTCATATTTTCATGAACCAAAAGGAATTTTTAAAACACTAGAGGGATTTTCCATGGGTGACAATTCAGCAGCAAGAGGGAGCGAACTTATACTCCAAGTCTTTGAGCTAGATATCTATAAAAGTATATACAATAGGAAACTGAACAAACACGTTAATAGATATTTACGGTTCCGGGATGATGTATTGATTCAGTTAACTGGGGAACCAGAGAAAATGCTTAAAATCATGAAGATAGTCATAACTGGATATCCAAAATGTATCCAATTTAATGTGGAATCAAGATTGATTTTTGGAAAATTTTTAAATATCAAAATCTTTAATTTCCCTGGACAAAGTAAACCTACAACAACGGTATTGAGAAAAGCAAGTTCTAAATATGATATTATCCCTTTCAACTCAAATATAAGCGAAAAATATAAAATGATGGCAGGACTACATTACTTTAATACTAATAAGACACACACTTCCTCAATTAGAGAACTGAGTAACCAAAACCAAATAGTGAAAACAATTTTACAAGAAAAGGGTTTTCCAGAAAACGAAATAAGAAAAATTAGAAAAGTTAGTAAAAAACAGCCAGAAAAACAAGAAAAGAAAAAAAGGTACCACAGTGTTTGACAATGTAAGTAAAAGACACGTGTTCGTGAAAAATGTGTTTAAAAACTCCAAACTAGATAAGGATATATATTATCTACCAGCAGAAATACCTGGAAGAAAACTAGAACAATTTATTTTCTCAATCAAAAAAATGAGAAACCAATTAGAGTTTTAATAAAGGGTTTTTTTCAAAGAACATGGACAATGACTGGAGAAATTAGGTCGAAATTAACATATATTAAACAGGTTCAATTCTGAATAAAAAACGGTTTATTCAATTCTATGCCAAAGGGTTTTGAAATAAGATGTCGGGTAGATAAGTTAAATTGAGTCATGGATCAGAATAAACTGCAAGGGAAAAGACATCGGGATTGGAAAGAACTGTAAAACTGGCATGGGTCCGGTGCACAAGGAGCACCGGACCCATGCAATATCCAGCAGGATTAAAATCCTGCTGAATATATTGTCACAGACCATGGAGCCGGTGCTCCTTCGCCTGGACGCACCAAATTGCAGTTTTTTCTAACCTAGTAAAGTCTTATTAATAACTTTATTGAGAAAGGGTTTTATACACTCAGGAAAGGGTTTTTTTAGAAAATGAAAATAACGA